ACTACGAAACGAACTCAAAGCTAGTTGTAAGGGCGGGAATTGTGCTCGGTATATATCTATATTACCTTTGGATAAAGATAAATGAAAAGATTTTTCAAACCCACACTTTCAACGTTTACCCTGCCAAATATTCCATTCTGATTCACATTCAGGAATCCATGCCTCAAGGTTGAGTTTTGGCAGCGCGTCGCAAGACACTCTTATTTTAGATTGTTTCATGGCCCATCTGGGAATAGCCGAAAAGTCATCACTATTTTCACAGATTATCTTGGAAAAGAGTGTTTTTCTGAGTTCTCGAAGCTGGCAATGGTTGAATGCTGTCTTGTCGGTGTTCAAGTATGCGTTAGCCTCGTTTTCATGCCAAAAGCGATCTCCGATTTGGAGGCGTTTAAACTGCTCTGCTACAATACATTGGAATGTTGGTCCCAGGACTCCTCCTTTGGGATCTACTCCTTCCAGCATTCCTGAAAAGGAATCGAATAGCAGATAAAGCTTACCTTGCAGATGCATACAGTAGAAAAAATTACATGGAGGAGGCCATAGAAAAGGGGCAGCTTTCCCAAGTTTATCGGTAAAAACTGCTTGTGTCTGTATCGAAAAATATGTTTATTTGAATAAAAACAACTTTAAATTTTAGGACATGTCTATTATTTTAATTAAGAATTCACTTTCTCGGGAAGCCACCGAGCCCTCCATGTGCTTAACTTAAAACCTCTCTTAAAGATTGGAAAATAGTCATTTTTATTTCGGTTTCTAACCGTCTCAGTCAATATTATAACAACATGCTCCGATGCGTGACGTGCATGTGCTTTTTCTAACAGCCGTTAAAGCCTCGCGTAAACGGACGAAACAATGTTGGGAGTTGTTCCGTCCGTTACTGGGTTAAATGTTTGTCCGGTTTCGAACTTTGCGAAACAACTCCCAACAACACGCAACACCATGCAACAGCAAAGTTTGCAAACGGAAGCGACTTCTAACATCAACATCTAATGTTAGGAGTTGTTGGCAGACAATATAAAGAGAGATTTAGGGTCACGTTTACAGCAAACAGCATGCACCAGATACAATTTGAGAAGTAATAAACAGCAAACGACAGTTAGGGGAAAACTTGATCACGTGGTACAAATTCGGCGTTTGCCGTTTGAGGTAAACGTGGCTCTAAATCTCTCTAATGTTGCGTCCGACTGCTGGCATGAGGCTTAAGCTTATTAAAGCTTCATTTCCAGTCTCGGAACTGTCCGTGCAGAAGCTCCCTATTATCGGACAGGTCAAAATTGGACAATTAGACAGCCAATGAAAATTAAAGGTAGTGATGTGTAGATTTTATTCTAACCGCTTATCAAAAGCTACGTGCCAGCGGACGCAGCAACTCCCAACATCACTAGCCACCGACACTGAGGTAAATGATTGTTTTAGTTATACCATAACAGTGAGGTATTATTGAGCACAAAAATGATGATTTTAACTCATTTACTGTTGCAAACGATTACAATTTTGGCGCGCAATGACCGAACGGCCGAGGTCGTCGCTTTTTCTTGTCGACAAATGAAACTTTTGAAAGCATTTGTTTGGCTCTTGCGGCGAAATTTCTTCAAAAGGAGTTGTGAATTCTTTTTGTATTTAAAATCATTCTGTAAAAAAAGATTATTTAATTTAGGTTTTACTTATAAACAATTCAACTAAATAAAGTAACGCAAGACTTAAGCTTAATTTGCATTTGTAAACAAAAAACTTTCTCACCAGTTTTATCGATAAATTCAAGTCAAAGGACAAAGATTAACCTGTTAAAACTTCCAAACCGAACTTCGTCACCTTCTTCGTGTGTTTCGGGAACTAGCTTGCAAACCGGGAAGGCATTGGCGTTGCTCGCTCGGAGGAACTGGAGGTGAATCAGTGAATAGTGCAGGATATTCACTGATTGAGTAGCAAATCAGAGCGCGCGAATAAGCACTATCCACTGTTTTAGTATATATTAAATAGATTTAGCCATGGCTAGAAGCGAAGATTTCGTTGATATACTCATAGTTTACTCAAACAAAAACTAAAATCGTGTAATGTTAACCGGCGACGGCAACGAGAACTGCGAAAAAATCAATAGGTCTAATTAGCAAACAAACAACTTTCAACGTGCCGTACATCTTTTGTACATTCCTTTGCCGTTGTTTGCACGACTCTAGTTAAGCTAGGTGCAAACGGACGCAACAATGCAACTCCCAGCAATGTTGGGAGGCGTTGACCTGAATGTTGCCTCCGTTTGCAACAGGTTAAAATTTTGACCGGTTTCAAACTTTGCGCAACAACACGCAACAACATCCAACAACATGTAACAGGGTGTGCAAACGGACACAACATTCTAACATCCAACATTGTTGGGAGCATCCTCAGAGACCCAGGGGCCGTCAGTTTGGTCAGAAAAAACGGTTGAGAAAGTTTTCAAGAACGGGCAAGATAGCCCCTGGGATGCTACTCTTTAAGAGCCAGATCTACGACTATTTCCGATGCTTGTCTGTTATTAGGCACAAAAAGGTAGGTAAAGAGGTAAAGTCTTTCGTATAAGATGACGAAAGCAGTGCGATAAATGCTGGCCTCTGATGAATATGATAAAGCTCAAAAAATATTTTTGTGCTCAATCACAGTCAAGCATTAAAATGAGTCGTACAACTGGCTCGTTAAGAGTAACATCCCAGGGGCTCTCCCGCCCGTTCTTGAGAACTTTCCCCGCTGTTTTTCCTGACGCAACTGACCGCCCCTGGGTCTCGTTTAGGTAGCTATACAGATGAAACAGCGTATGTGTTCTCACTGCTAAAGCAAATAAAACAATGATAAATATAATGACACCTAATACATTACAGATATTTTTAACAGAGGTCTTTTTCCCAGTTTTCATTTTCGAAACGGTTCGACCAATCGTAGCCTACAAAACATCGGCTTCACTTAGGGGTGGTTCTTTGCCCTATAAGTTTAATGCCAATCAGGGCTAATACAATATTAATGTTCTCATAGTTAAAACAGAAGCTGAATCCTAAAGATTGTGATAATACCCAAGACTAACCTCCGGTGAACAAGTCTATATCCTCAATTCTTCCCTTGTAAATTTTTTTCAAGTTGGCCACGTCCTTTGGGTAAAATCCAGCCTTTTTTTCCAAGTCACGGAACGATTTCACTTCTGTAAGGTTACATAGTTTAAGGTTACGATAGATGATGTAACCGGGAGCTCCTCGATCACGTCCTCTTTTGATGTTAATAGCCACTAAGTCAGAAAGATCACCTTCACCCCGACGCAGGTTTTCTTGTACAGAGCTTGAAAATCTCCTACATGACAAAAAATAATAGTGACAATCACGAGGTATTCCTCTTTTGTTAAGATCTGTATTAAGAGGCAGCGTGGCCGAGTGGTCAGCACATCGGCCTCGCAATCCGGCGGTCCCGGGTTCGATTCCCCGGCTCTGGCTACTTAATGAATTGTTCCCGGTCATCCCGAGTTCAAATCCTTGGCAACGCTTGTAAATAGCCAACTTATGCAGCCTCCTGCCAGTTGGAGTTTTTAATCCCGTTATGTTCTATTTCCATCATTTGTTTCAGAATCATTTGAGTGGAGTGCCTGTAAACTAGCTGGATAAGCTAAGTGCACTTTCCACTGCAAAAAAACCTTTAACCTTTTAATCTTTAACGTGAAAGCTTATAAATCATTGTTCGATGTTGCAGCCTCACCCCAGTTGTACGTGAAATTTATAGCTATGGCCCTGGCTCGCGAATTGTCTCGTGTAAGGGAATGCCAGGAACTCAGTTTGCTTGCAGAGAAATTTTTGCTTGTGGAATCAAGAACCAATGGGCTTTGGATTCAAAACTGTCTTGGATTCCCTTACTTGGGGCGACGTAAAACGCTGAACAGACACGTCGTACCACTGGCAGTGAAAACAGTTAGGGAGGAAAGTGTAAATAACAATACGGATATTTTGTTTCCATTGAAGAAACTGAATAAAAACATGGAATATTTAAAAATTATTGAATGCCGTTTATTTTTTTGTGACTTGCAGATCAGATTTCTCGGCTAGGAGTGTTTATATACACATAACACCGCCCGAGATCTGCCAAATTCCCTCGCACCTCTCCAACTTCCATGAAGGCAAGTGCATGTTGAGGCGTTTTTTAAAAAAATTCTTTTTCTGATTAGCTTTAATCCCCCGGCTAATTCTTAATTTGACTAGCTGGTGTTGACCAAATTGGGAAGACAGCAGCTCTCTGATACAACAAACGTCAATCGGATCGACAACATTAGAAGGATGGACTAACAACACAAACGGTACCGTAACGGTGTTTGGATGTTTTGGCAGTGTTCTTTTGGGTCGACCCAAAAAATTTGAGAGGGGTTTGTATGGAGTTTTCTAAGCATAACTGGGCTACGATCTCAGAGAAAATTTGCCCCGAAATGCTCATTTTTGGCAAGTAGGCCTCTTGGACATTGTTCTTTCAGAATATCCTGACAAATCCAATAATTTCAGAAATTTCATTTTTATGACGTCACACTTTAGTACTCTATTATCCACACCTTTCCATCTATTTAGAACAGGCAGGTCATTATTGTGAAGTGCCCCACCTCAGTGCCTTGCTCTGTCATAGTATTTGAAATAATAACCTGCTTAAACAATGGAGAGCTACATAAAGTTAAGGCACGCTCGTTAAAAGGGTCTCAAAGTGCACAGTACATACAGGTGATTTTACTTACCCGTCGGCCTTCCCCGCAGGGTCTTTCACTAAGCCCCTCAAAATGGAATCGATACCTCCTTTACCAGTATCATATAAGTACTGTGGATTATTGAAGTCCAGTACTGGGATAGGCAGAAATTTTGATTTGCCTTCATCGCATTTGTGTTCAAAGCCGGCCTGAGAGAACCGATTGAACAACTCTTGAACCAAACTGTGACCAAATCGATACCCGGCTACAGCAAAGGCCGTCGACATTTGCGCATCCACTGTTTTGTCATAGCCATTGAAGAACTGGTCTCCCTCAAGAAGCTTGAGACCAAATGTCTTGATCTAAAAGTGTTGAAAGTGAGACACTTTGAAATAAATATATAAATTATATGAACACCAATGATTGAAATACCTGGTGTTAAAAAAATATTTCACCCGTTCGCTGCGCACATTGGCGGTCAGAAATAGTTTTTAGCACTCGAAGAGAAATTTCGTATCTCCGGGCAGCCATGTGATATCCTCCATATGTTTGAGTCGTAAACGGAAACAAAACATGGATTGTTTCATTTAGATTGTGCTCTATGTATGATGGCGGAGCTCACGCGCGGAGCCCATTAAGGTTGAACACGCGGACAGCCTTTTTGTTTCTTATTCACGTTGGTCCCATGAAAAGGACGAGCAACACGCGTCCAAAACAGGCAGCATTGGCGTCAATATTCGAGATAAATCGCATGCGCTTATGTTAGACCTTATCTTTGATACTGCGGGATAACCATAATATTTTCTGTCGTCAAAACAAGGTACAGTGAAGCTTCTATTAAGAGGACACCTTCTACTGAGCAATTTTGTTTAAGTCCACGTTTTTTTAATGCCACCAAAATTTGAAACTCACAAATAAAAATAAACGTTCCCCGTTCCGGAACTCAGAAAATATAAAGAAAAACAGACCCCTGGACACTATATTTCGAACATTTACGGTAATTCTGACTGCTCCGCCTATGTGACGTGCATGCTGGTATCTAGGACTGCGTCAAGGGTGATGGTTAATTGCCTAAATAAATATTCAGTAATCTAAAACATTTCTAGTTCAAAAATTCAGTCAGTCAAATTTTTTTTAATTACACTTCAGAATTAAAATAACTGTGCATATTATGACCAGAATTTAATAGATTGTAGTTTGCAGAAACTTACCGTTTGTTCGCTTAAAATTAACGGCAGGAACTCGCCGTATGTTATGATTTGCATTTGCGCTCCAATAATTCTTCTGGTTTCTTGGTAAATCTTTTCGGCGTCCCAGGTAGTTTTCTGACCAAAAAATGTAGCGATGCGGTTGTGGTGCCGTGTAAAAATAGTATGGAGCGAATTCAGACCTGTTGGTTTAAAAATAAATCAACTGCTTATTTTTTCGGGTTAAGAGGCGATGAGTCCGTAAGAATAAATTTCTAATAATAATCTTAATAATTGACTCCTGCATTAGGCCATAATGTCGCCCTTTATCAATACTAACAAGCTGAGCACATTAGTTAAATGTATCAGCGATTAAAGTAAATTTCAACCTAAACTTAGACTAAACGTTATCACTAAAGTTAAAAAAAAAAGAAAGAAAAAGAAGAATAACTTCATATGTTACTTGAGAGAAGTTTACGATTGATGTACATGTACGCTGAGTCCGTGATTTAGTGCCCTACTTACAACAGGTAGCCCAAATGCAGAATTGGAGCGATAGCACTGGTGCGTTCCTCCGAAATATTTAATCAGGATTTTTGAAAAAAAAAACCTCTGTTTTTTCTAAAGCCTAAAGATAAAAATGAAATTTTATCAAAGGCGATGGTATGCTCTTTTTCCTTGCTAATTTGGACAGGCGACCAGAAGCTCTCACCCGTTACTATGTGACGTCACACTTGCACGCGGAGTGTTTCATGAAAGGCAGTTTCAAAACAATATAATAGAGTCCTCTGCCTTCCACCCTCCTCCCTGAGAGGAGCCCGACCCTTCATCTTAATTATCATTCATTCAAAATATTTCCCCGATTCTGATTGGCTAAAAGCACACGCATAATTCACCATAACCAGTTGCTGATGACCAAATTTGGAAGAATTTTGTGTTTAGCGAGGAAATGACGTCCAAAATGCAGCGTTTTTTTTTACGGTTAAGGCACCGTTAACCGAGAAGACCTGGGGACGAGGTTGAGTTGTTCTGGTTGTGAAAACAAAAATGGCAGACATTTCACTCGTTTCAAGAGTAAGAACTAGGCGAAATAATAGCTAAAAACATGGCAAGAACAGTAAGAGAACAACTCGAAGGGCGACATCTGCTATTTGGAGAATATTTGCGAAGCTGAACAACCCTAATTGGCACTATCGAAGATGAACTTTAACATCGATGAATCGATGGAGGTAAGCATGATACTTAACAATTAATGAATGAGGCTGAGTATCTTATGAAGAATTATGGAGATCTCGGAGGGTGTTATCGGCCTCGGCCTACGGCCTCGACAGATAACATCCTCCTCGATCTCCATACTCAGCCTCATTCATTAGTTGTTAAGTATCATGACAAAACCATGATCCATTCAGCGCAAGCCGGACAATACGCAGTTCAAGAAACAACTGCCGACGCCAGAACTTTCTTTTAAAAAAGCGAATTCGTGTTCTCTAAATCTTAATCAATCGCGATTATCGCTGAACTCTCTTAAATTTTCAAATGTAGGCAAACTCTCCTGAAACTGAATTCCTTAGAGCCATACCAAATAAGAAAAAGGAGCCGAAAGAATTTACATATCGTCGTTGATCGCTTGTTTACGTCCTCCATATAATGGTGGAAGTAGGTGTTTTAACATCGTAGTCGTGCAGTAACGGCAAAGAAGTGTCATCGTGTGTGGCACGTGCAAAGTTGTTGTTTTGCTAACTAAACATTACAATTTGCTTTTTAGAACATTTATGCTACCGATTTATGTTACCGTCGTTGTCGTGACATCTCAAACTCCCTAATTTTTGCTGTTTCTGCTTACCCCCCTACCCCCCCAAAAAACTTTCTTCCCATTTTATCGATTTCATGGCAAGCTTAGGATAGCTCTAATCTCACCTTGGTTCTCATTGTTTCTTATATCTCCTGTTACAAAACATGGCCTGTTTGGATCCCGCGATGGACAAAACCCTTGGGTTTGGGCAGGAAGCAGGTTCTTAAATGGGCAGCCATGTGGATGGTCCATGTCCAGTAGTAGGCCGTCTGGAGCACGAAGTGAATCAGCGACCTGCTTAGTTGATCCATATACGTTAGACGCGTCAATAAAGGCCGTTATTGTGTTCGAATGCTCTCGAACGACTAATTTGCAATGAGAAACTGGTACGTGGGGGGCATCTCTCTCCATTTCAATAAAATCAACCTCTCTTTCACGGAATATCGCATCATCGTTTGGAATATGAATGTTGATACACTCAGAATTCTTCTTGTCGGCAGGTGGTTCACAGTTAAGTCCCTGTGCCTCTGCCAACGTTATGTCGTGGTCCAAAAACTGTCCAAAATTCATGGCCAGATGGGTCAGTATTTTGGAATTTGGGTTTGAGCGGTCTGCATTGCTGCCGTGAACAAAACGACTAACGTCTCGCGCGTTTGGAAGCACTTTACCAGTCACTGATCTTCGAGGTTCTGAGATGCAATCGCCATAATCAGCCTCTGCAACGCGTGTGAATTTTGATCCGACTGAACCAAAAATTGGGTTTTCTAGGTTGTTACATGTTCCATCGATTGTGCGAAATGTGGTATTCGAATCACACTGTATAGAATGCACTTTTATGGGGTAGATGTCGATCGCTTTCTTGAGAATTTTTCTTTTGCATGCTCTTTCTCTGTCACCTCTGTTGGGGGAATGTGGAATAAAAATGTTATCTGTTAGGCACTGGCCTAAAACTGGTATATTCTTAAAAAAAAAAAAAAAAACTGAATCCGGGGAAGATCCACTTTACTGAAGTGCACTGTTTTACTGGCCATTAGGCTTTTATAGATTGTGCTAGCATAATTTTTCCCATTTTTATAACGTGGCACTGCTAGCATAATTCGCATATTTTGATAATGACCGGAACATTTTTGGTTTTTTTGTGTGTTCGTAACAATAACCGTAGAAGATCAGTGAAGATATGATAGTCAATGTACTTGTCATTTTAATCACAACCTAGTAACTAAGCAACTAGGAAAAGAAAGACTGAAAAATTTATAAGTTCAAACTCTACTGCCGTGCGGATTCTTAGTGGAGGGACTACTTTTCTCAAAGGTGAAAAAAATATCAGTCGCGAATCCAATTGGACGAGCTTTGTTTCTCACCTGATTGGCTAGAACTCAGTATATACGTTGGCTGTATAAATTGGCACTACTATCAATAACTTCAAAAGTGGCGACCGCCAAAGGGCCTAAACAGCTTTCAAGAGCAATATTGTGATTGTTTTCAAATTTTGTCCTCGGGCTGCCGCAGTTTTAATTATACGCCGCTTTATTTTGAAAACTAGAGGAACAAGCTATTCTAAATCACTAGAGAGAATCGTGCTTTTAATCCCAGATTTGCGTATATCAAATTGCAATTATTGCCTTTACTATAAATCGTTGTGGAAGCTCCGCTTAAAGGCTTGCCTAAAACTACATAAATATGTACGTAACAACAGAGCAATTGGATTTTAACAATCCGCGAAAGTTGAAAGAATTAAATTATACAATATTTTGACTCACTTTGGTAGGTTGGCAATACTCAGCTCCCCTAGAACTGATAAATCTTTGCACAGTTCATCCAGGATGCACGAGGTACATTTTTCACTCCTTTTAGCATCGAGCCACTTCTTATCGCTAATGAAATCCTTGACGCCGTGCTGATAGGCCTGATAGTCCTTTCTCAGGGCTGATTTTCTCTCCTTTTTTCGATTCCTTGATGGTACAGTCAAGTTACATTTGCCTTGGGCAAGTTTTTTAGCCGCGTTGATAGTAAGCAGCAGTGGAACATCGTTGTTGAATGTAGAAAAGCTCTTATCGAGTCCTTTACCCAGGGTGGAAACCTCATCAAGAGATTCTTTGCGAACGTTTTTGTCATGTACATCCTGGTAAGTTATCTTATTCATCATTTTTTCCGCTACAGAGTCTTTTTCACCGACGACGTTAGGCGAGGCCAAGTCTATTACAAGCAGTAGGAACACCAGACTGACCAGTAAGTGTCTTGCCATGATTGACTAAAATGAAATTGAAGCTGAAGTTGTTTGAATTAAAAGCAAATCAAGGTTAAATTTTTGCTAGTATATTAAATATAGTGTATTGTTGTTAATTCTTTTTTATAAATTGCTTTCTCTCCTCTAGATTGAAATTGATTGTTCTGGGGAAGGCATATTTTATTAGTTATATAAAGTGTTAAATAAAAAACATATACACCGCTAAAAATTATTCACTGCGTACTTAGTTAAGAATGGAAAAATTGTCAAGAGGAGTTTATTTTGTGATTGGGACTTTTTAGTCGAGGCTGGCCCATAGGGGCAACGCCGACTTACGTTTTCGGCTCAGTATCTTTTTTTTTTCTTTTTTTTCTTTTACGTTTTTCTGTCGCAAATTTTCATCCCAGGTGGTGACTTCTTGTGTACGTACGTGCCATCCAACCCTTCAAATTACGGCGTAATGGACACATACTCTGACATTTACTTTTGGAATATAACCCCAGGAAAAGTCCTAACCGGGGGATTACTAAGGTCATTTTTGTGAGGGTGTGACAATAAGGCCTCCAAATTTAGAACTTGGGCAACTCATTGGACGGTCTATACTCATCCATCCAATATCCACCTCTAAGTTTATCTTGTGAGCTAACAAGCGAAAACAGCCATTAAACGAAGATGTTTTGAAATTAGCGTACTGCGCTTTTACAACGTCTCCTTCAAAATTTGCCACGATGAGTAACTTTTAAAGTTTTTGTTCACCTTTTGTTGACGTTTAAACCTTTCGATAAGTATTTTCTCTTCCAAAACCTGCTGGCAGGTCTCTCTGTCTGTGAGGTGTGTGGCTTAAGAACGGTACCCATTTTTCTTGTTTATATAAGAATGTTATTTTTCAGGCCTTTTACTGAAAGAAAATCAATCATTTTCTACGTTTAAGTTTAAAACATAAATTTTACTGTATTTCCAGATTTTCAACAACAAACTGAGTCCTTTTCAAGCTCTCATTCTCGGGTTTAAACACGCTTCCGCGGCAACCTTTCTTGTCTTTAAATATTTTTAATTAAGCTTTTCAACAAGTTAAAAACATAATCATGTCTTCAAGTTCTGAGGTGTAAGTTACATCAACTGTTATGCCAATTGAGTTGGAAGTCCCTTAAGGCTGCGTTCTATTATATATTACAGTATGTATATTTAACTTAATTTGTTTTTAAGTGTCTCCATAACATTGCTTCAGATCCATGTAAGGATTATTTTATCAAGTCTTCACATCTTTCCACTAGGCGATATGGTTTATTTCAATTCCTAAACTGCGAAAAAAAATCTTCTAAGAAAGGCACTTTTTTATACTGAAGCCCAAGTTTTCAATAACTTCATTACCACCGCATCCTAAGGAAATTGACTCTATAGTGATTTTTGAAACACAGCTCAATGATATTATTTTTTAGAACTCTTAATTAACAATTAATGAATGAGGCTGAGTATCTTATGAAGGATATAACACCCTCCAAGATCTCCATAATTTTTCATATGATACGAAAGCCGAATTCAATAATTATTTTATTATTCATTCAAAATAATTCCTAGCTTAAAAATAACGCTAAAACATGCCGGTACCTCCATCGATGTTAAGTTCACCTTTGATAGTACACGTTTAGGGTTGTTCAACTCCGCAAATATTCTCCAAATAGCAGATGTCGCCCTTCGAGTCATGTTCTTGCTGTTCTTGCCATGTTTTTAGCTATAATTTCGCCAAGTTCTTACTCTTGAAACGAGTGACATGTCCACCATTTTTTGTTTTCACAACCAAAGCAACTCAACCTCGTCCCCAGGTCTTCTCGGTTTACGGTGCCTTAACTTGCAAGAACGCTGCATTTTTGACGTCATTTCCTCGCTAAACACAAAATTCTTCCAAATTTGGTCATCAGTAACTTGTTATGTTGAATTATGCGTGTGCTTTTAGCCAATCAGAATCGGGGAAATATTTTGAAAGAATAATAATAGATCTTTAAAAGGTTTTAGTCTAGAGTCTTAATTTTCGTACGTAGTTAAATAATTCTTAGTTTTTATCCTTCGACATTGTACACAGTTTTTACATTTTCTAATAGTTAATTTATGATAGTTATTATCTTTTAATTGTTATTTTTAATAACAGTTTTAACTGACGGGTTTACCTTTGTTAAATATGTTATTATTGTTGTTATTTAATTATTATTGCTTAATTCTGACTTCAAATATTTCTGTAAATCATGTACATATTTTTTTAAAGATGAATAAAATTATTATTATTAAAGAATTAAAATGAAGAGTTATTATCCATTATTATTGAAGTTTTGCTCTCAACCGCGAGTTGTGTTTTTTCAAAATTTGTTTTCTCAAATTTCCGATCACTCCAAAGTTGATTTACGTAAAAGTGTAGCCAATCATTTTCGATGCTGACCGAAGGGACTGAACTTAAAAGTTCCCTCCAGGGTTTCGCCAAAGCATCAATAGATTATGATAACATGCAATTATTTTCCTGGCCTCAGTTGTTCAAAAGGTGGATAGCGCTATCCATCGGATAAATATCTATCGACTGGATAGCGCAATTGGTTTTCCTAATACTTATCCACTGGATAGTGATTTATCAAGACTTTCAACAAAAATATATTAACTTCTTTTGTTTTTTGAATTGCAACAGTTTGAGCTAATTTGGCACGATCCCCCCATGTAAGGAAATCCGCCAAGTTTTGCTTGTGGAATCAGTCCTTAATACTGGGTTTTGGAATCCAGATAACAGCTCAAGGAATCCGGAATTCCTTTAACGATTGGAATCTGGAGTCCAAGTTCCACTGGCAAAGTCCGACGTATCCAAGACTTCCTTAGATGGGGCAGTATTCAAGTGATACTGACGCCGGTAAAATCGCAAACTGAGTGATAACAAAGCGACAAATCATCAGACGAAGTAGCTCGAAGTCTTTATTTTAGAGGACAATTCCGATAGATTGGAGACGCCACTCGCATTTAATTTTAAAACAAAATCTATACACAGCTGCCCGCTGAGCAGACTTAAATACCGTTCGTTTCAAGTGAGGATGCATTAATTGCGACCATGCTCTTATTTAGTCCCATAGTTATTTTCCTGGATGCAATGATTTAGCCAGTACTACTTTAATTACTGCGGAAGACTTATAAACTTTGTGATTTGATTTATGAAAAAAATGTCAATTTTTAAAAAAACGTAATGCCATGAGAAAACAAACGCTGGAACATTCACTCATAGTTGTAGCATTGTCGCTAACTATAGTTTAACATGAATTGATTACTTATCAAATCAACATAAAGGCTATGGTCACAATTTGTCCTAGTCCCTGTTTTAAATTAAGTTACAGGCCTGTGCCTTTCCTGTCATATTTCTGTAAGAAATTAACGTATAGAACAAGAGAGAAATAATAAAAATTGAGATGATGAACATATTCACTTAGGGGTGATTTCCACTGTCGCGTAATTTTTTCGTGCAAACGCACGTAAAATTTAGACGCATAAATAAAATAGAGGCAATGTATGAAAGGCCAAGCGTAAACTTGAAAGTTGAGCGAGGTCCAACTTTTACGTTTACGCGTGACCTCCCATATACATTGTCTCTATTCTATTTACGAGCGTCATAAAAATTACGGGACGGTGGAAATCCACCTTTAGGTTAAAACAACATAATTATTTTGATCGTGTTGATCACTCAATGGTAAACGCGATTAAATTAGGACACTATAGGATAAAAGGAGTTGTTCTCTTTAATTAAATGGACATCAAATAACGAATTTATAATGATCAAACATTTGAAAAATTTATTAAATGAGAGTACTCCACAAGGGGCCCANTGGAACATTCACTCATAGTTGTAGCATTGTCGCTAACTATAGTTTAACATGAATTGATTACTTATCAAATCAACATAAAGGCTATGGTCACAATTTGTCCTAGTCCCTGTTTTAAATTAAGTTACAGGCCTGTGCCTTTCCTGTCATATTTCTGTAAGAAATTAACGTATAGAACAAGAGAGAAATAATAAAAATTGAGATGATGAACATATTCACTTAGGGGTGATTTCCACTGTCGCGTAATTTTTTCGTGCAAACGCACGTAAAATTTAGACGCATAAATAAAATAGAGGCAATGTATGAAAGGCCAAGCGTAAACTTGAAAGTTGAGCGAGGTCCAACTTTTACGTTTACGCGTGACCTCCCATATACATTGTCTCTATTCTATTTACGAGCGTCATAAAAATTACGGGACGGTGGAAATCCACCTTTAGGTTAAAACAACATAATTATTTTGATCGTGTTGATCACTCAATGGTAAACGCGATTAAATTAGGACACTATAGGATAAAAGGAGTTGTTCTCTTTAATTAAATGGACATCAAATAACGAACTTATAATGATCAAACATTTGAAAAATTTATTAAATGAGAGTACTCCACAAGGGGCCCACCCCATTGCCTATCGTATCTAAATTATATTATCGAAAACACCTCTCAAAAAATGTCACAGTTGATTATTTTTGCTTGTACTAAACTTTTATCGACACTTAAGTCGAAGCAACCTGCTTAACAGGGGCAATTTACTAGAGCATATTAACTAAAGATATGTGTAGCAGCGAGTAACGCGAAAAACGTGTGAGAGGCGCAAGACGGATCGAGGAGGGGAAGCATCCCAGGAACAATGAAAACAATATAACACCAACGTTAACAACACTTCATATTCTATTCTCTTCTTTATCGTCTAGGCCAAATAACACTTTTTTCGATTGATGTGCCTCCCGTTATATACCTCAATGACTCATTAATAGCGTTTACTGCAGCCGCGTTTCTAAAATTACTACTTGGGGCCGGTGAAGGGGGACATGTTGTTTAAAAAGTATGTTTAGACAGTGTTCAGTTATAAGTATAACCCTTTTTAAATTTTTTTAACACATAAATCTTCTTTACATTGTTTGCTTTTAATAGCATCAAATGGACATTTTAAAGTGCCTAGGCAAGAAAATCATTTACGTACTAAAAGTATTAGAATATTTTTGGGGCCACTAATTTCCTCAAACCGCGCTTAAATTTAGACTTAGCCTTAAACATCGACTTATTAGCAACTCCAACCTAAATGTCGTCTTCATCAGTTACGAGAAGTTGTGAGTTATCTTTGAATGTTTAACTATGGAAGATTGGTAACTTTAACATTTGTTTCGTTTTATCCCTTAACTGTCAAAGTAACTTAATTGAATTAGTGTATATAAAATATATATCGATGAATAGGCTATGACCTCTAACACAATATTGCCGTTAATTTAGTTTAAAAAGATCTTTCAGTCAATTGTAACCTATAAAATCGATTACCTTAACTGGTGTCTTTTTACAGTATTGGATGGGCTCAGACTTTCCAAGCATTTTGATTAATTACGGCCCGTTCAATGAGATTGAAATCTTCCCTAGACGGCGGAAACAAGGAAAAGGAAACATCGTATTATGACAACATTGTATAGGAATTTTATGGAAAGGTTTTTGTTTGGGCAGTGGGTTGCAGGTTCTGACGGCAGGAGGTAATAAACTGACGAACCGTATCCATTAAAATAGATACGGCTTCTCCGGTCATCTGAAATGACCGGTTGCGCAATACAAAACAATTGATTCGTTGACAGAACCAGCGAGACCGCGCTTCGAGGGTCTCAAAAAATACCTGAAACATGTAAATCACGGGTTGTCGGCTGTCACATTTATCAACAAGCGCTATTTTCTTTTGTTAGAGATTACTGCGACTCAGTAACGGATTTGTTTTACTTATCATGCATTGAAGATTTAAGAGGCAGTCTCAGTAAAAACCGCCCACCCAATTTCGGGTGAAAAATAATTTTACCTGAAACTCTGGCAAGTGAAAGGCCTTATCAAGACTATAACTAAAATAGGTTTGCTTCAAGAGAACATTGCCCCCGCAGGGATTTCGCCCAGAAGGCGAAATCCCGAGGAGGCACTCTAGTAACTCGCGCGTATATCAATGAAAGTACTTACAGTTGAAATATACAGTCAGTATGCCAGAAAAAATCTCGATTTGCTTGAACAGGGGCCGCGAGGAATCAGTAGGTAATGATGACGTTTCTTTTGTTTGCTCCCACAAGTACGAAATGGTTAGGATGACGTTAAGACAGAAAATCCCGGAGGGACCCGCTCAGGTAGATTTTGTGACATTTATTGTGCAGTCATACTTCGGTACTCTTTTGCGTTACGTGTTATAAGTATTAGTGACTTTCTGTGGGGAGCAGTTGTTTTGAAAGTTATGGACCAAAAGACACTCGTTAAGCGCAGCTGAAGTTATAAGGTGCGTATAACTGTGTATATATATAAACACTTATTAGAGAGTTTGCCAGCGGCACGAGTTCACAAATCTTTGATTGGAAACCTTGCCAGACACTCTTTCCCTCTCTTTGACCGGAATAAGACTCACGGCCCCAAACAAGCAAGACGAGTGAACAACGGTTAGCTTATCACTAGCAGAACGATGGACGATTACAGAAATTCGCCGACAATCACATTCTGTGCTGACTTATTCCCTGCTCCCAGATGTCCTCCTGCTATAATAAAGTTTAAAATAAGACTAGAATGCGCGAGCGGGAATTGAACAAACGTCCTTTTAATTTCTACGGCTTACTTTCCGGTAAATAAAATAAACTGTATGGAAAAAGTGAAAGAGAAATAGCGAAAATTCAACTTCTAATTAAATCCTTTCTTATGGTTTAGAATAAACTATTCTCGAAATTGAGAATGTTTTGATCAAAGCTGTGTAAATCGAACCTTGCGTTTCCTGTATTTGTCTCACCTGTTGTATGGAATTCGAATATGTGTGAAAATCTTCATTACGAATCGGTATATTTCAAAGAGCTACACAACGAGCAAGAATACTATTGACCGACAATATACAGAGCGGGGGCAGCTGTAGTGTCAACTATTACTAGTAATAGGACAGAGAGGGAGTCTAAGGGCGTTGGCCGGAATATCTTAATTTCAAAACAGTTATTTCTAGAACTATGTGGACCACGCGGAAACAGTTTCCGGTAAAACTGGTTGACTTCCGGAAGACTCGCTTTCACTATTCAGCGCGCCAAAGCGAGGCGGAGTCAACAAATGAAAAAAATGGTGGCTTATGTGGAGAGACGACGTGGACGGACTTTGAGTTGATAAATTGTCCTACTTCAACGAAGAACCTACCGAAGTACCGAAAGACAAATACGATGTGCAAGAAAAACAAAGATGCATTTTTTCAATTTTTTAAGCATTTCTGATTTCCTCTGCCGGTTCGCTTCTTGCTTCTAAAAAGTCTAAAAATATTTACGGTGGGAAAAATACTTGGCTTCGGTTTCTGACTGAATTCAGATTTGCCGATTTTCGGATGATCTGGATTTCCGCATTTCCGGTTTTCCGTATGTCCGAGTTTCTTCATTTCCGGTTTACGTATCAATCTGCATTCTACCTGGAAGGTTTTTGCTTGAGATAGATCCGTAACGCTAGAGCTAAAAATATCGCAGAAGATCGCTGCGTTGATCCAAACGATCATAACTTTTAAAATACTAAAATCGTATAGGGGTTTTGCATATTCTCAATAACCGGATGACCTATCTTTTTGTCTATTTGGTCTAGAGCTTTCAGCTAGGTACCAAACGTTAGAAATAAGCTTCTCAAACTCATTAATAATTCATAAAGAAAATTCAAAGGAAATTAATGTTTAATGAGTGTATGGATATCAGATGAAAAACTGCTCATTTTTGCATCCTTAATTTCTTCTTCAAAAATGATTTTGTTTGAGAAGAAATATCAAACATTCGACACAGTGTTTCATCACCAGATGAAACACCTCGAAGTTCGTCAAAAATACTCCGCTGCGCGTCGTATTTTCAACTCTCTTCTCGGTGTTTCATCTGGTGATGAAACACTGCATCTCATGTTTGATATATTACTTTTAAACCAGGGTCATTTTTGGCCTTTCGCTCCAAGGCAATTACTTGGGTCATATTTTGCTTGATTTCGTATTTTCAGCTAAATTTAGCGAATAACTTATTTTCATGTAAAACTACTGAAACTAGGTATTTACCTATAAATAGATATAAAATTCATTGGCAGATGGGGCATATTACAGGGTCGTAATAATATGGTATATGGGCTCAGGGCTCAAAGCCAAAAAGATGACTGGAATCAGGTATCAGAGGAAAGGGCTCAGGGCTCAGAAGAATGGGATCAGGGATCACAAGGCTTTTGAGCCTGAATCAGGGATCAGATTTATTACACGGTCTAAAAATCTCTTATCACAACATTTTTCCGCATAATAAGGTTTCTGTCCATAGAAATTCCTGGCCGAGGTACATTACCTATTCTTGCTTCCGTCTGGCGGCAGTTCCTTTCATACGAAGTCCTGGTTGTTTGACGAAAACACTTTATTATCATATTCTTAATTTATTTAATTGTTGAGGGCACCGTACTATGAATCTCAAATCACTTTTCTCGCTTTGTAACTCAGCTCCTCAACGTGCTGTCAACGTCAGAGGGCAGAGAAAGCGATTAGTACATATCTTTTTTTTTTTTTTTGCGCGAAATGGGGAAGAAGAAAAAGGACAAAAAGAAATCCTGTGACAGAGAAAGGTACGTAACTTCTACCTTGACTGATTTTCTCCTGGCAAGGGTTCAAGCATAGAGTTTTTCAGCCGATCAAACATAACAATACAGGACAATAGACAAACCGATTCATTGAAAGCGAATTTTACTGTATAGGTCCCGATTGCCTCATTGCCTCAAGCAAGTCACAAGGCGACTATAAATCGAGGTTCGTGAGACCAGAAACTTAACGCTTAAAAGTACTTAAATAATTAGAATAGATGTCAAAAGTAGAATACAAGTACAATGAATTCGCGCGCTTTGTTGCAGAATAAATGCCTTCTCGCAATTCCAGACGTGCCCGTCCCTCCGGGAATTTGTCATCTTGTCGCTCCCCGTGGTGGGGAATTTATCAGAAAACTTCTGCCCAGGGATGGGCCATTTGTCAATTCTTCTAGAAGCGGTTTACATTGTTCCTTTTTTTCAATATTTCACTCTAAAATATGCCTAGTTAGATACTTCAGGACTATAAAGAATATTTTTAATAATATGCTTTCAAATTACGATAAGGGTGGTTTTCGCTCCATCACCACCCTACACCACAGTTATTTTGCATTTTTTGCCTTTGTCTAATGAAATTGCTTCCCGCCATCTTGATTAGTTCCTACATGGAAGAAAGACAATCAATGCATCGTTTGAAGAGTTTAAAAGCACGTTTTGGCTATATGGCTGCTAACCGGTCAAGGTTTTCAAAACACGTAATGACCGGCAGTTCTATATTCTCAGTAAATTTCACAAATCGAAAAAATCTAGCTAAACCAAGCCATCCCGCAGAGAGGAAGGGGAGGTTTCCTTCTTGGGCAGGGGCTGAAAAAAAAAATACAGCTGATTTGAATTTCGACAATAAAAGGTAATTTTGTTGCGACTGGTCCGGCCAGGACCCTGCCAGATCGCAATGACAAGTCTTAGCTTGACTTCGTCTTATGACAATGTATGAAGGGAGTTACAGTGGTTACGCAATTCAGCCTAAGATCCATTGAAACAACGAACAAATAACAAATCACAGTGGAATAGATCAGAGGCAAGTCTTTTTTTCGTTTCCTTGAGCAAAAGTGTAGATTTAACGTTTTTATAGCGTTCTCAGAACTCAGTATTGTATTTTTCTTACAAAAAGTATTATTTTTAAGGGTTGCCTGTAACACGACGCCGACGTGTTTGCCAATGAGGTCACGAGTCACCTAATGGCACGTACATTTTCACGAGGAAAGGGTAATTAACATGACGCGATCTCAGTGTCAATTCCAAGCGTGCCCATCTCCCCGGGAAATTGGTAGCACATTTTTTAGCCTGTGAAAACATCCGTTTCTCCTCGCTCCGTTTGTGAGCAACTCTCTAATATTGTAATGTATTAGGTTAGGTGCGCTTAATAGAACGGGGTCGCTCATGAGGATGGAGGCGCTTCTTGGAATTGGGGCGCCTAATCATTACGGTAATGATGACACTATTTCTTAAAGGCCAGGTCTGAAAGCGGGTGTGAATAACGACATTTTTTGGTCTGAAATAGGGTCAGAATTTGGATATCCGGGCGGCACACCCCCATCATGAATTCCCTAGAGTACCGCACAGGGCTTTTTCTCCATAAAAACAACAACAACAACAATAAATCTAATCTAATTCGTATACATGACATACGGTGGTTACGCAATCTTCATGCCGTATGTTGGTGTAGAGGCGAAGCTCTGAAGGTCAGAAAACGTACTTTACGACTGAGTGCAGGAGTTGTGTGTTGCCCGCCGCCATGTTTAAACCAAGTTTACGAAGGAGGGAGAAATTTGCTTAAAGAGTAAGGAGGAGGGAGATTTACTCTCCTGTACCTCCCCCCTCCCTAGGCCTAACTCTATTCTATAAGTAACCAAGGTGAAGAAACTCACTGTAAACAAGA